TCTCCCTTTCCTTAAAGCAGCTGGCAGAGTTAGTCTGTTCCTGTAGGATGAGTGTGAATTACCGCCACTCTGTGCCAGTGAACAGAACAGCCGCATTGAGAGGTTGTACAACAAAAATATAAATATTAAGAACAATGCCTTTTAGCTACCTTTGAACTGGTTCATGAGGAGGACTGAGACATTGCTTTCAATTACCAAACATTATTTAGATCCAAACTGAAGCAGACTTTCGGCTAGCAGTCAGGATGTGTGTGGTTTGGTATGACATCCATCTGAGCACATGATGCTTGGTAAGTGCTGGAGCCTCCGTTATGATTCACTGGGGAGAAGCATGGAAAACAATGTCTGCTTTTCAAGTGTTGGAGAGATGAAGTTAAGGTTGGAATCATGTAATTTTGCTAAAATAAACCTGCAAGTAGCTTGAATACCTCTGTTAGAAGGGAAGTAAGGATGACGGGTATGGCTGATGTAATAGCGTCCCACTGCCTGCTGTTTGCTCAGGTTCTCACTGATACTAATTGCTAGCTATTTGTAAAGCCGGTGGAGGTGCACTGGCATATTGACCGCTGAAGATGGAGCCCAGAGTTTCATATGCTGATTTCTAAGACAAGGTGGGGTCGAGGGATGGTAAAGCTGTTTGGACAGCTGGATTTATTTGTAGTATATATTTTAAAGTTATTTTTCAAGCATGGTCAGAAATCCTTCTTTGTAATTTTCTGCTCTTATGTTTGAACTAAGAGGGGCATCTCTATACTTGTACAGTGCATCTGGAATTTTTAAGCTAATTCACTTCAGTGAAATATAATTATCTTCAAACACATGCAATTTTGATTGTCCCTTCAGACAAAGCATCTAATATCAAAACAAGAATGACTTCTCTCAATAATAATAAATTATAATAATAATAAATTGTAACAAACTTTGTTTCTAATATAAAATTATTTTTAAAGTTACATTTTGAATGGAATTATTTAATAGTATGAAATTGATGAATAGTCTATAAATAATTTTATGTACAATTGTTTTACAAGTGGAGTCAGATGTCTGTAGGATTTGCTATTTATATTGAAATAGGAGGGACTCAGAAGTGCTGGTATATTTTCCCAAGGGCAGAGCTATCATGTTACTATTCTACACGGCGCTGTAAAATTTTCAGCTGGGCTCAGAAACAAAAAAAGTGATGTGGAAGTAGAGGCTTCAGGTATTTTTCATTTTTTGCCAAGGCCATATAGTGGAAGGTAGATGAATTGAGGAGAAGATTTTTGAGGAGTGGAGTATAAACTGTTCCCTGCCCGGAAGAGGAGTTGTTCTAATTTAGGAAGAGGGAATTACTTGCTTACAGAAAGGGCCAGGGTGTGGTCTGCTGAGATTACTGAGATAACTCAATAATTTTAGGTATCTTTAGGGAAGGTCTGCCTACTGTGCTGTGCTTCCTGACGTCAGGCTGATCCCATTTCCCAGATTGTTGGTCCCTTCTTCCAAAAATCTTAGCAGAAAAGTTCGTTTTCATTTTTTTTGGCAGCGGTTCACCAATATTTAGGGCTATGACTTTTTGTTTAAAGTGAGGATGAGTGCAGTAGGTACTGTTGTGTAAAATGGAAAATTTCTTTTGCTTGGGAATTTCAGTAGGTTTGTTCATCACTGGTCACTTGACAGCCCTGCCCCACCCCGTAAATGCGGCACCAAGTTGTTGAAATCCCACTTCTAAGAAGAAAAACCCCAAACAACCAGTGTAGCTACCTTTTTTGTTTCATTTTACAAATATTTTTGGTGGGGGAAACAAAGTTTTTCCTTCGAAAATCACCTTGTGCTTATTAAAGCAAAATACAATAATTCTGAACAGGGATTATTTTTTTCTTTGAGGCAGTGAAAAGTAGGAACCTGCTGGAACCACATGTCATTTTGCAGCCTCCAAATGGTTATTTTAATTGTAGTAGACCAGGTAATATTTAGTTGAAAAATAAGACTTTTGGTTTGCAGCCACTAAAGCTACTGCATTGCAGCAAGTAGAATGAGCCATCTCTACACAGCATTGCCTTTAACACTTGAACAATGATTTTACCGGTGTCTTTTCATGTTGTTATTTCCCAGGCTATCTAATGGCTGTTGTCCAGGTACAAAAGAGTCTGAAAAGGCGTACTATTTATGAAGTTCCATGCTTGCTTCCTAAGGGGCGGTGAAGGATTAGTTTGTTGTGTTCAGTAGCTGTTTCAGTACTGTAATTCAAGATGAGGGTACTGTACTTTAAATATAGAGTCTGTTGTGCTGCCATTAAGTCACACATTTGCATCAGTCATTAGCTCAGAGCAATGCAATTCTAAACTTTGTTCTTCTGAATGCTGATGCTGCAAAGTAGTCTTGTGAATTGAAATGGTACCAAAGCTGGCAAAAGATCGAGATGTAGCTCTGCGAGAATGCGTTTCCTGGGGGTTTGTGTGCTGCTTTATTGTGTCTAAATCTGGCCTATAAAGAAGGATTCAAGAAACACATGATTTTCAGAGAACATTTTGAGCACCAGCTGTGAAACCTTAAAGGTTAGATTTTATGATCTATTCTGCTAATCTGCAACTACTAATTTGTAATTAGTTAAAAGGGACAAGCAATAGGCAGGGGGGTGGAGGGAGGGGATCCGAATGGTTACAAAAAGCATTGTTAACTCTGTTGGCTGTTCCCTCCTAAGCGTGTCAGGGGAATTTGGTGTAGAGAATAAGCTGCATCCCGAGGTTTTCAAGTCACCGGCTGCCTGGTATCATATTAACCCTAACTTGTAGCATGATAAATGAGTGTTGATTCAGGCAGCAATAGTGGATTTCTAACTTACACAACCAAGTGACTCTTGAGCAGGCTGAAGAATAGCACTGCAGACTTGTGATTAGTTCAGCAAAGGCCCTGTTCCTGAATACAGCAGAGATCTGGACCCTCATCTCACAAAAGATTACAGCTTTTCTAGCTCTTACATGAGCGGGGCCACGAGGATGACAAAGGTTGGAGAAAAAAGGTTGTTGAACAGAGAGATGAACTCAGGAGTGGCATGAAGATGATAAGCAGGGAGCGATGGCTTTCTCTCTCTTCTAATACAAGAACTAGGGCAATAGCAGACCAAGCCATTAGATTTTAAGTTAAAAAGAAACAAAAAGAGGCTGTGAAGAAAAGGTACTTAACAAACTATGTAGTTTAAACTGTGGAATCGACTGCCACAGGATGCTGTTGAGGCTGAAAGTTTACTTGGTCTCAAAAGGCACTTGAACGAATTCCGTGCAACACAGCGACCACCCCGACTCACGGCGCAGGACCGCAGAGCATTCCCGCACGACAGGCCTAGTGGTGTTTTGGATTCTCCCCGAGGCACGCCCTTGACAGCGAGAAGCTGTCAGCGCGGCCGTATGGCCACCCGGGATAGCAGCACTGGGGGAGCTTGAAGCCCACAAGATCTTTCTGTAGCATTTTTGTTGATGAGCTTTGGGGTTCCTTATTTCCCTCTGTTGGCAGGGCTTTTTTTTTTTCCTCTCTGTCAGCATTCCTTTTTGAGAGACTTTCTCAGATGTTGAAATAGGCAGTAGCTGCTTGGAATCGTAACTTATTTCAATATTGAATACTATTCATACATCTTAATTTCTAGCATTACAAAAACCATTTTTTTATTCCTTTTCTGTCTCTGCCTAATATTCATTTGAGCATTTTTAAAGACTGTTTCTGCATATTAATTTGCTATGATATGCTTTAAAAACTGGGGAGAAAAACCCTTGTAAATGGATTTTGCCCTCTTAATAGCCCACAGGACATATAGGCCACTTCACTATTATTTCAAGAGCTTTCGAAGACAGAATATATTCTCCATAGAACCAGCTTTCCCCTCCAGTGCTTATCTGTCAGATGGACTGAGTTCCTCTTTCACAGTGAGGCAGTAGGCATTGCAGCGTGTTAACTCTTACCATACCGGGAGGTTCCAGATCGCCAGTCATGCCCATGCTTACCTCAGTAAGTGGTTATGAACACCTGCCTTCGCCAATAGGAATGAAGTAGCTTTCTTTTGATTCACTGCCTTCCCTTTAATGACGATTACATTGCTGTATGCGAACTGATATATCTCCTACTTCAGTACGGAGTCAGTATTATTTTAATTGCTGTGAATGATAGGCTGTTTATGTGAGTAGATCTACTGAGATTTACTGTTTAGTAGTAGTTTGAAATTACTCTTTTAACGAACAGTTGTAATGCAGTGATTCTGAGATGAGTGCAGCGTAGTCTGCTTTCCCTTCATTTTCTGCTCTGAAAGTTTTGCTTCCCGCCTTGACCCACGGCATTTGCCTGGTATCAGCCATGTCTTTTGAGTAAAATAAACTTTTCCTGGGCTTCAGCAATGCTTATAGAATATTGCAGTGTTAGGAGATGGAGTGGGATTAGTAATACGTTAAATGAGGAGGTGTGTGATCAATTGTTACTTTCAGTGGTGCCTTTAGATAAGTATCTGAAGAAATTCTAGGCTGAAGAAAAATGTTGGTTGCCAGAGCTTGCAACTGTAAATCATTGGCGTATCTTTGCAGGGAGGTGGCTGGATAGACCAGGGATACCTCACTGAGGGATTCTACGCCCCTCCTCGCAACCAAGCAAAATGCACGGCCTCGTGTTTCCTAAAGGGATTTAATGTTGCATATCTCATTATGGCTTGTAACAACAGTAAGTCCTTTGACCTTTCTTTCTTTAATGCCTTAGAAACAAGACTGCCAATGGAGATTATCGGAAGGAGCACAGAGAGAGGAGTCGCAGCCCAATAGAGAGGGCTGCTGCCCCAACAATGAGCCTTCACGCCAATCATGTGTATGCCTCAATCCCAAGCTTGACCATGGATCAACCTCTAGCACTGACCAAAAACAGCATGGATGCAACCCGAACAGTCGGCATCACACCTACACTGACTTCTGTGGAACGGCAGCAGGTACTGGCTTCTAGGGTGACAAGAAATTCTGGGTGGTTGTAGGAATCCTTGCTGTAGACACAACGAGGACTTCCCAGATGTAAGCAGAACGTATTGTGAGTTACAGTAGGTAGGCGATACTATTCTTCAGGCAAAATGTATTTTAAAAACGCACAATGAATGTCACAGCTCATTGTGTTTAATGTGGATAAATCACTGATGATTACATCTATCTGCACAGATTTCTTGGCCTTCCTGCTTTTTCTGATGCTTTGCTAAGCTTGTGAGTGCATGTGCATTAGTGGGGAATGCAAAGTCTGTGGTTGAACAGAGCTGCAGTACCTGCCTAGGCAATCACTGATCCAGTGCACAGGTAAAGAGGGTATTCACCTGTGCTCCTCTTGGCAGTCAGCGCGTGCTTCCTCCCACGTACCAGCCAGGACTGCTGAAGGAGAGGTGCCAGATGGAAAGGGCAGAAAGGAGAATTTTGCACTGAATTTTCCAGGTGAAAGAAGCTGGAATGACCTTAGTTTAGGCAGCCAAAAGCATTCCTTGCGTTGTTCAGAGCAATGTTGTGTCACTATTTCATAATGACTTTTCCTAAAGCAATGATTTTTTAATCATTTTATAGTTTATTTCCATATGCTGGAGTGGTTTGGTTTGGTTGTGACTGGTTGGTTGGTTTTTGGCTTGCCATCTTGTACACTGTATTTGTTTTCCTTTGGAACTGCTGAAGACAAGGCATCTCTATGCAGCTTATACAGTAAGTTTTCTTATATGTCAGACTTGCTTTTATCCCTCTCACGAGTGGAGAGACAAAGCAAGATAACTGAGTTGTGATGAGCTGCAGTGCTGAGAAATTGAAGTGGCCCACGTACCCAAGCTCTTCCTTCCTTCCTGCCTTCCTCCCCTGCTGTGATGCCCTGCAAACGGTAAACGCTTTGAGTGGATGATTTTTCAGAGGTTGGGATTTTTCATACACAGTTATGAAAGCTTTTTGTCACTGGAGCCATGTACTTACATCTACTGGGTAGACGTTCACAGTGGTTGGCTGCGTACAGTAGTCTCTTCCATTTTACTGCGCCAAAATGCCTAGCTTTACACTAACGTTGCTGATATCTTGCATCATTTGGCACATAGATTGCAGAGTTATTGTTCTGTGCAGAGCGGCTCTGCTTTGCTCTCGGCGTTCAGTGATGACAGAGGAGGAAGGGACAGGCTTCCACTGACGGCACTGGTGCCCTTTGATAGTATTACCACTGCGTCTCAGCTTAGCAGCTACCACCACCGACACTTGTCTATTTTGGTGTGTTTGACTTGGGCTGATTCCTGCCGCCCATTACCAGATTCCTCTCTCTTTTGTTATCTTTGACGTTTTGAGCTAGATTACAATCTGTTTTCTCAGGAAAATAGGATGTTGAGGTAAGACCTTGCTAAGAGCACAGAGTAGAAATCAAACAAAGAAACAAGCGTATTGAATAGAAGAAACTGTAGTTTGATGATCTGTTCTTTGGTTTGGTTTTTTTTTAACCTTACCATGTTGAATGGGATTTCATCTTTCTAATAAAGAGGTGGGAAAAAAATGCCTTCTTATTTTAGGTAGGGTTATTCAGCTACTGTGGTCACTGCTACTCAGCTTATCTCAGTATTTTCATATAAAGATGTACAGTCTGCTCAGTGCACCTCTACAGACAGAATGATACCAGGGGATTCTGTAAGATGCCTTATCCTGCCTCACATCCTTTGTGATGTTGGTACCTGCATTCTTGAGACAAACTTTTTTACTACCTGCCTCTCTCTACTTCCCATCTCTTGCATGTCTGAAATACTCTTCTGAAGAGATAAGCATACACAGGCTTCTCAAAAACCACTTCACAGATACGCAAAATCTTGGCCCTATAAAAAAAGAAAATAAATACTTCCACATGTGAACTGCTTACAGAAGAATCAATTCACTTTTTTTCTTAACTGCGCTGACAGCAAAGTAAAAAAAGTAAATAAGATTGTAAATAGCATCATTCCCCTTGTGTCTAGACAAATAGTATTAAACCTCCCCTTGAAAGCTCATCTCTCTTTCTTTGGTCTTGCTTTTCAAAAACTCTGTCTAAACTATCACTAAATAATGAAAACTCCTTCCTTCCTCACTGACTTTGTATGGTGGTAGGTACAGCTGTGATTTTTGTGGGTTTGCTGCAGAGATTTGTAAAATGGACAAGACATTTAAAACTGTGTTAATTACCTCAATTCTGTTCATCTTTTGGACACTTAACAATTCACTTGCATTGAGTCTAGCAAAATGGACTCCTTGCATCATAAATTATACCAAAGATGCAAAGCCAAAAGATTCTGATACTCATATTACTGCTCTTCAGTCACCTGGAGAAACTGTGACATTTCTTTTCCTAAGGCCTTGTTTCAATGGAACTTTTATGTATTAAACAACTGTAAGAAGAGTATTTTATGTTTACACTTTGTACAAAGTATACGCTGCGGAATTGAGATTATGTGACCAGACGTTTTGGGGAATTTGCATGTGTTGAGCATGAAAAAGGACGATGATGATGAAGTAGTGCTGGAAAGGCAGGTTAATTACAACAAGAAAGTACTTGCGGTTGAGACTGGCTTGGGAGCTCTTCATATGACAGTTGAACTTGATGATCTTAGAGGTCTTTTCCAACCTTAAAGATTCTATGACTTTAAGATTCTGTATTTTACCTCTTAGGAGCTTATTGTTTTATGGCTGAAGTATGGAATACAGAATTAGTCAGGCTAGGACAACTTCACTTCTGAGTGAAAAATGATTACATTAAAACTCGATTAATGCCAGGAAGAGAAATACCTGCAAAATTTGTAAAGCCCTTCTGAGTCCTGGAATCACAAGGATATGTCGACATAGAATGAAACAAGTATTTAATGTGTTGACATTTAGTTCTGCATGTGTAATGTCTGTGAAGTTGAAACAGGCACTGTAAAATCACTTCAGTGCTTCTCATGATTTGCTTTTATACTGCCCTTTTTCTGTATGGCCTCTTACCACTAAAATAACTAAGAACCATTATGGAAATGCCATGTGGTGCTTTTTTTTTAGTCAGAGAAAGAAATAATAGCTGAATATTTTGGGGTTTAATATGCTTTATTGAATTAGATCGTTTATGGGTTATTTCACTGCTGGGATTCAGTTCAGTGTACATCTCAGGCGATTATGCAATGAACTGCTGCTAATAACGGCTTTGGCTAATTGCCTTAGTGAGTGACAGCTTTCTTTTTTTTCTTCCATATTAGAACCGTCCGTCTGTAATCACCTGTGCTTCTGCGAACAACCGGAACTGTAACCTCTCTCATTGCCCCATTGCTCACAGCGGCTGCGGCTCGGCAGTGCCTGCCTACAGGAGACCCTCGAGCAGTAAGTCACGCGTCCGCACTCTTAACTGCCTGAGGAGAACAAAGGCGTCTCGCTACCCTTACCTGTGTAGGCACTGATGTGTTGAGAGGAGTAAAAGGAGGTGGAGCAGTAGACACCTTTTCGTATCCTGTCTGCCCAGAGACATGCTAGCACACATCCTTTCTGCAGTCTTCCTAAGCATCAATCCTGACCCAGAGTAGAGAGTGCCGTTTCAAAAGCAGGGAGAGAGAAATGTTCTTTTTTCTTGTTTTGAAAAGCTTCTTTAAAAAAACAAACAGACCCCCCCAGACAAATAAGTCATTGTGTTTATGTTACTCTAACTGACACACAGCAGACAGGGCCAGCAGATCCAACCACGCTCTTGTTTGAGGAGCTGTAGTTTCCCCGGCCTTTCAGTAGTCAGTAGACTTTTATGATTCAGCTGCAGTCACGAGAATCTTTTCCTGTCAATACAAATACTCTCCCAAAGCACATACCCTCCACCTTTCTCTGCAGGGATAACACAAAAAGCTTTGGATGGCAGTTGCTATAGCAACCCAAGCAGGGAGCTTTAGCTTTTACCTTCTGGGCAATTAGTACTTTTCATGAAATCTTTTCATGCGGTACTTGCTGGGAAACCTTGGGACGTTTCTCTCCACTTTCTTTCACTATGCGACCAGGGGAAAATACAGCCCTTTCCTTTCAAATCATATACCTGCTGATGCATAGATTTAACATGCAGCACTTCCAGCTGTCCCTGGCAGTGGGGCTTCATCAGCCAGAATGGGTCAATGTAACAATACCTGCATGACGTAGGTAGGAACCTAAAAGTCCATAGTAGGTTTTTTTGGGGGGGGGTTAATTTGTTTTTTTAAAAAAGATCAGTGTATAGTTGAAAACTAGAATTAGAAGCTGAAGTGAGACCCTGGAGGATCTATTGAATTCGTAATGTGTAATGTAAAACACTGTGAAATCAGTGTTTAGGGATCTAAGATGTTAGAAGTTTTCGAAAGCTGCTGTTATTTGTCAAAGGAGAGCCCCTTCATTGAGACCCCAGCTGCCTTTACATGGGCTTTGGAATAGTGCTAAACGTTTTCAGAAAATATTTGTCTTTTGTCATTTGAAGAGGTCTTTGTGCAGGACGCTCACATTTATTTTAGGATCAATCAAGCCTTTCTGTAGCATGCAGGACAATGGCATGGATCCTGAGAGTTTTAAGTATTTTTGAAAGATAAATCTCATTCAGACACATATTTATTGTTTCTAAATTGTAAAACTGCAACTCTCTCACCTGTAGTCTGAGGAAATTTTACTATTATCATTCAAAACCTGATTTTTAAGGTTCTTTGTTCCTCTTGTGATAGTATTACACCATTTTAATGCTCGTAGTGCCTAATGCAGAGGTAATGATTCATTTAGATTTCTGACTGGCTCCTAGCACAAGTATGTCAACTAAGATGAAACCCTGAAATCAGCTTTTGGCATGCCACAACGTAGAACGGGGTCTCCTCGCATCTGACTGGTATCAGCAGCCTTGGGACCTGATTTTAAAGAACTGTTTCCATCTTTAATTATATTTAAGCCTAACTATAAGTTCTGTGTGATTGTTTAGGGAGAGGGTTTCCACAGAATCGGGGCTGTAGCTGTTACTGGCCTGGGGGAGAACTATAATTACATATGAAATGCTTACCTGTTGCAGGTCACAGAAACGCGAAAATATTTAACTCCATTTACTACTTGTTTTTCCTTTTAACCCCTCCCATCTTCTTCCCCACCCCATTCACTCCTAGTTCTGTAATACCATAAAGAAGTCTCGCTTTATGCCGCGATGATAGGAAAGGGGAGGAAACACGGGTTGCGAATCCATAGCTGGGGGCTGGGATTCTGTGCTGAAATAACGTATCTTCTGCCTCCTCTACCCATCCAGCTACCACTGCCTGTGACCCAGTGGTGGAAGAGCACTTCCGCCGAAGCCTGGGCAAGAATTACAAGGAGCCTGAGCCAGTGGCAAACTCCGTGTCCATCACGGGATCGGTTGATGACCACTTTGCCAAAGCACTTGGGGATACGTGGCTTCAGATCAAAGCTGCGAAGGATGGAGTCTCCAGCAGTCCTGAGTCTGCTTCCCGGCGGGGCCAGTCTTCCCCCTCCTCTCATATGGTCAATCATAATCACTCGCCCTCCGTAGTCTCCTGAAGAGAGGACCGTTACGTTTGTGAATTTGCATGGTTTGACTGAGCTTTGAACAGTGCTTAAATAGTGTTGGGGGAGGGGAGATTAGTTTTCGACACATGTTTTTTGTGTACTCACTTTTTGTTTGTAAAAGGGTGCCCTTAAAGATGATAGCAGGAACTATTTCATAAAGATTCATACAATGTAGCATCCTTTTTTCCTGCCTCAATTACCAAAGAAACCTCTGATGCAGATCTGCTGCCCCTTAAAAAAAAATAATGCACGCTAATCCACAAAAGCCATTACACTTAGTTGGTTGACCCAAATGCTTTTTGCTTGTATTAGCTTCTCGAGACTAGAATTTGTCTGGTTTGCTTACGTTGCGCCTTTTTTGTTTTGGGTTGTTTTTTTTTTTTCCCTCTGTGAAGTAATTTTGTATGTATATACTTGAAAAGAACTGTCATGTATGATTTGCACTATTGGAGGAGGACTGAAGTTGCACAGCAACTTTCTGGAAGACGCTAATATTTTGAGGGCAAACTGCTGAAAAAAGGGTTTAAGGATGACATTTCTATCAGTTTGATTTTTCTTAAAGCAAAACAGCTTTGGAAGGGGAAGTCTCATACAGGTTATAGGTCTTTCTCTCTTTAGATTTCAGGTGCTTAGTGCTTGCAACTGGACTGCATAATTTACAGAACACGGGCATTTTTTCCTAAACACTGCAGTTTGTTAGAATAGAGCTGAGGTTGGAGGGTTCAATAGTGCTTAACGATGCATGTTTTATGAAAAATAGCTGGTATCTATTAATGTATAGACAGTAAGAATCAATACTTATTAGCTTTTCTTCAGAATTAGTTTATTTTTGTCAGTAACAATCCTAGATATACTTACTGCTGGTACAGTTGTACTCTATGATATTTGTATTTGATATTCACTTTAGTAGCAGCCAGCAAAAGAGGACAGCCTCAGGACAGGCCTCAAGTGACGCAGTTTAGAGATACACGATGCGTGGTACAGGATGCTATAGCTTTGCGCATGACTGAGTAATTGTTTCTGTCTGCAGCGCTGTCTGCTCAACAGGAATTTGCTTCCTAAAACTAAGTCTGTGTAATCCACCTTGAACTAGCTGCAGAAACTGCTACTGTTACGTATCTTGGCTGGACAACAGATTGTTACAGTTTGTGAAATAGGATCTTTAATTTTTTTTAAGCTTATTCATAAACCTATGCCAAGTTGCAGCATACATTCCTCCATTAGAGAACTTTATACAGGTATTACTGCATTTATTATCATTTGCTATATTAATAGCTACTAACTAGAAATTAGGCAGTAGAGGCAGGCGTAAAACCACAGCTGTGCTAGTACTAAGAGCTTCTCTTCTTCTTGTTCAGTGTAACTACTCTCCCCCGTACATTCCATCTTCCCAGTACAGTTGCAACTAGGGCTTTTTTTTTATACTGGGTTACCTGAAATGATTGGTTCTGTGTAGAAAGTTTGAACTAGTTGGAAGATGAACTACACGTGATGTATTATGGACTACGTTACAGTATTTGGTCCATTGTGGCTTTTATTTTATGGTTTTTTTTAAAGTTAAGCTATTTAATTTGGAAAAGGTGCAGGGTAGAAAGAGATCGGGAGATTGGCTCTTACTCATGTTGAGAAGGTGGCTGCTCAATTTTCTTTAAAAAAATTTTAAAAAAACCCACAAAAAACCCCAAACACCTAAGCCCCCAGTTTTACACATTTCACTACCATCTTACTGGGTAGTCAACGCTTCCTTGCTTTGGCATTCAGTACCCTACTCTCTGTAGGAAGATTGTTAAAAGAACACTTTTTTATATAGGTAACTTTAAGACCATCGTTACGCTGTGCGTAAAGAATGTACAGAGAAATTTGTAGGTATTTTTTGAGGAACAATTAATTTGTTAATGATATGTAGCTATTTAATTTTTCCCTTTCCTTTATTGTAATCATTCATTTTTTTTGTTTGGAGAAAAAAGTTGATCTTTTTTTTGTTGTAGATTTGTCTGTAATACAGTAAAAGTGCAGGAACACAGTTATTCTATGAGAACACTGCATTAGCATTAATAGCCACTAGTTTGTTATTGCTACAGGCTACTGAGCATTGTAACAGTAAAATACTAATACTGTAGATGGACTCTGTGGAAAATGTGACTCCTATATTTCTTTGTAAACACAAATAAGATAATGTTTTTAAAGCTAATATTTTCAATAATAGCTGTTTTACAAGGTTACATTTACTTATCTGAGATAGGTAAATGGATTTGAGGGCAATAAAGATTTAATGTGATATGTCCGGTAAAACATGTATTAGACACAATAATGTCGTGAAAGCCAAAGGGTTGGGGGGAGGCGGAAGGAAACTAAACTGAACTCACCGTCATGAGACGTGGTGAAGTTTCTTCACAGAGCCAGGTTATCTACAGTTCAGTCTGAAAGATTCTCTGTGTGTTTGTAAATCTGTAATATACCATTCTTTTGTGGCCTTGTTTCACCTGGAAAAAAAAAAGGTTTGGCAGGCCATCTTTTTTTTTTTTGTACTTAAAAGTAGCCTTAAAGAACAATAAAGTGCTCTTAAATCACAGGCGTGCCCGTGCCCATCTCTGTGCCTTGGGAAGGGAGGAATGTGGGTGCTGGACCTCAGGGGCTAGACACAGAAGTGAACTACTGTCCATAGCGTGCCTCCCTTCCGAGAAACCCATCCGGGGTAGGACCGTCAGCCTGCTGTGGGGCTGGGGTTGGGGCTGTCAGGAAACAGCCTTTCCAACTACAACGAGAAGCCGCAGCTGCCAGAGCGGAGGGGAACAGACCCACCCCCAGCTTCAGGACAGCTCTGAGCACACGCGGGCAGCTGTCCCCCGAGTGGGTCGCTGAGTGTTGGCCAGGGCTGCTCTCCCTGTGGGCTCAGGCAGCTGTGCTCTTCTGACTGGAGTGCGCCAGCAGCAGCTCCTCAACAGTTACCAGTTTGGAACATACCGGCTAGCCATGCGTGTCTGTGCGCTGTAGGAAATGACCAATGTCTTGGTTTTCCTTCTGTTCTGTCCCCCAACTTCTTCAAGTTATAGCTAGAGAACAGAAATTATTCCCTAAAGATGGCGGCTGTATTTCAAATGTAGACAGCCATGGTCTTGTGTTTTGGGTGAGCAGCAATTTGGGAGAAGATCATTCATTCGACTGGTTAATCCTTAAAAACAAAACAAGTGCTCTCATTACCTGATTTTGAGAAAGTTCAGTGAACCAGGCAAGAGCCTTCAGAGGAATTTCTACAATGACAATAGTAGAGGCATCTCCAAAATTAAAAAAAAACCAAAAACCCTAAAAATAATGACACACAAAGTTAGTGTTGTATTAGAAGTGTCTAAATGGTTTGAAACACAAAGCAGGCGTGGCATGTGTGGGCATTGTTACAGTAAAGGGCTGGTTTTGGGGTGCAGGAGAACCCATGAAGAATGATCAGTGTAACACATCTGACAAACGTCCCCCAACCCCCCGTGGCGAGCAGCCCAGCAGCGTGCACTAAGAGCTCTTGGGAGGGAGGCCAACGCCAACAGGCCCCACAGGCCTCCCAGTCTGCCTGCCGAGGGGAGCAGGTTTCCGTTCAGGAAAAGTCATCCCTACGTCAACGTTTGGGGCACTACATGGAGCAGGACGAGCAGCGCTGCGATCTTTCAGCTCAGGGACTTAAAAGAGTGTTCTGTTTCCTACATAGTAAAAGGAAAAATACAGTATTTCTTTTTTTTTCCTTTTTCCCCTACCACAAGTTTTCTAATTAGCAGCAAGCAGTAATTTAGCACAAAAGGGTAGCGCTATAGCCTAGAGAAACTGGGCTGTACCCACACATTTCATATTACTAAGTCTTTCTTACACTATTTGTAATGGCTTATCTTTTTCTGTGTGTGAAATAAAAGACAACTTCCAGCTATGCATCTGTACTCGCATGCACACATGCATGCACACGGGTTTGTTTTTTTGTTTTTGTTTTTTTTTTCTTTACTAAGCAAAAATAATTTAATACAAACTAGAATGTTAATTTTGGAAAACAGACCTGACATCACAAACACACCAGGTCTTAGGTTTGGCTCTTGCATAGCTCAGTGGGTGACCTCTCCTGAGTACCGGTTCTGTGTACCTCAGGCTGCTTTAGTGCTGAAAAAGAACTTTACATACAAATACAGAGCGAGGCCAGGTAGAAGGGCAGTGATAGTTTGACCCGATAGTGGTACAATGGGGTATATAACTGTACAGGCACAGCGGCAATATGGCTGCGTAATTGCTAAACCTGTACTACCAGCGCTGCTGGTAAATGACCACTGATGGTGCACACCCAGTAGGGCTGAAGGGACCTCGCACAATGTTTATTTCCTCTAAAACGGAGAGCAGGCGAAGCGGTGAAGGGCGTTTATGGAAGTACCAGGCTCAGTTTGATCCCGCCCGGCTCTGTGCCGAACGCAGGCAGATTGAAGTCAGATGGCTGTGGCGGATCCTGCCACTGCTGCAGAGCACGCAGCAGGGAACTACTGCAGCTGCTCAGCTGCTCATAAAGCAGCGACACTACTACACAGTGCAGCTGAACTGTTAGGCCTTAAAACTGGCACACGCACAAAACTCGGAATTGTCACCAGTTCGGCGTTGCAGACCGGCGCTGTGACTGCACCAGTTGAGAAGCGGCTCCACAGGCAGCAGCTGAACTGTGGCTGCAGCTGGGCTGCACCTCCCCAGGGCCGCAGGGGGCTGCTGGCGGTGGGAGCCAGTCCAGCTGTTCCTGGGAGGCCAAACCCGCCAACAGAGAAACCATGGTGGGAGAAAAGCCTTGTTCACAAGCCTGTGTGCAACAGCAGCGTGAGGAGCGCTCGCTGCTTATGCTGTACAAATGCCTCCTTACGCTACAGAAGAGGTGACGCACAATGGCTGTGTGAATGAAGCCTTCTCCAGTATCCAAACACCATGCCAATACGTTGCGGTGCTTAACATGATACTCTGGCAAAAACATCAGAAGTATTTTAAATGTTATTTGTGTAAGAGCTCTACTCACCAGCCTTGGCACAGTGACGCTTGGCTGAAGGGAACGTTCACCTCTATCTTTAGGTCCTTCTTGAGGAACAGAGAAATCAGAAACCAGGCTGCATCCTCCTGATACGCAGCAGCTTCCATTTCACCTGGCACGGATACAGATCCAAGCACATTACACACAGCGCCTCCAGCTCTCTTCCCTTAGCAGTTACTACACAGCTAGATTATGTTGTATGGCCCATGACAAAATATACCAATTTAATAACTAAAATATACTAATTTAATAATTTTTAACCTTTCCTTCAATGGGAGCGTTCTGCCCCTCTCTGTGGAACAGCTAACTCAAGTGCATTTCTTGGGTAGAAGACAGCCAAGAGATAATTGCTCATTTTAAAACTGTAGTTCCATAAAGCTCTTGGTCTTCAGACAAAGCTCTCCTATTTTTCCCTTGGCGCTCTCGTGTCACAGCACCCAGGGCAGGAGCACTGCACGTCTCCGGAGGTGGGTAAGGGAGAGCCGCTCAGCGTGCGCTCTGCCTCAGGGGAGTGTTCGCCTGCTCTGGCAGAGGCTGTTCTGTGGAGGTGCCGGGGGGCTGAGGCAGGCAGCACTCCTCACCAAGAGGACATTTAATACACATACGGGTTTTTCTCCATCAACAGGGCACAATCCTTGAAAGAGACCAGCAGATCTGGGGAGATACTACTTACCTCCGCATGCGCGGCAATGCCAGGAACATAACTGCTTCCGCTCATGGCCTTCCCACTGGGGCTCAACCTTCAGTCTTAAAACCTTCTTGATTGTAGCAAAGCTCCTGAGCGCAGTCAAGCCTAACCCTGCCCACGCGCTGTCCGTCCCAGGGAGACCCTGCCACTAGCCAGTCATTGCTGGAGAAAAGGTAAGGGGAGAGCAATTAATTTCATCCTTGATCTAAAGCCACAGACACCCACGTCTTTCTCCAGTTCTCTAATTTTGGATTTTCTCTGAGACGTTTAATAGTTTACAGCAAACTCAGGTGTCTTAATAACACCGTCAGCACAGGCTGAAAGAAAGCTGCAGAAGACAACTAAGTTCAGTGTAGAATAGCCATTGCAAAAACGGGTTAAACTGCAAGGTGATAAACTAAACTTTATTTTTAATTAAAACTCCAAGGACAAATCTGGTCCTGGTAGATTTTATCTGACATAAAAATGGTAGAAGGAGCACCTTGCAGCAGCTGGGAATCTTTCACGGTGCTCTAGAGCTTTGATTTCAAAACTACAGTTTGAATTCCTAAGTCTTCCCTCTGCCACAAAACATTTCTCATCAGATGATGGATGCACTTCCCCAGCATTTCTCACGTTTACTCTAAACTAACTGGTGAGCTTGGCATCAGCTTTGAGTTTTTATTTGCAGAAAAATTTTCAAATTTTCCTGCTTAATTCTGCTTGGCAAATCAGATCATCACATTTAGAGAAAATCACAGACAGACGAAGGCACGTTCCGTGAGCAGGAACTCCTCTGCTGGCGTGCGAGCGGGACCCCTCTGCAGGCCACTCTGCCGGGGCTGTGACGGGAAACATCACCGTCTGGGCAAAGTGCTCGGCCACCTTGCTGACACGCACAGCGTTCCTGAGCTTCACTCGCAGGACTTTCCCTCTCCTCAGGAACTTCCACACTGGTAAAC